ATAAATTGTCATTACCCAGTCTGTTTTCAGTTACTTCTGTCTAAAGTTTATGGCTTCTGTGATTTCATTAGAAAGATAGTCTACAATGTGAGTTATAGACAATTCTTAGATTGGCCATTAATTAAGAATAGGAATGTCATAGATTGTTTGTGCAAGAGATTAAATTGCTTCACCTCCCATCGTTACCCTAACCTCTTCTTTGGAGGTGGGGTTGAATAATAAAAATGCCCAAGATGTGGCAGCAAGAAAAGAAGAAGAAATAAGATGCCTAAGTAATCTGTTCTTGACCACTGGAGAGGTCATTTGTAAATGTTCTGTAGTCGTTCTGGTTGCCATTTCAATTTGGATAAAAATTACGATGCAATCAATAAATATTTATGAAGCATTTACTATACTAAGTGCTAGGGATGCAAAGAAAATGCAGAAAGAGCCCCTGCCCCTTAAGGAGTTTATGATCTAATGAGGGAGACAACACGTAAATAAATAGGTATACACATAAAGATAAATAAAGAATAGTAGGAAAATAACTTTTGAGGGGAAGGCTTCCTGTAGAAGTAGTCTTGAAGGAAACCAGAGATACCAAGAGGTAAAGAAGAGGAAGAAGACCATTCCTTTTTTGGGGGACAGACCAGTACAGACCACAGAGAGAGAAATGGAGTTGGGTGGTAGCAAGTAGGCTAGTACTGCTGGATTATGGCTGGAAGGAGCAGTAAAGTGCGAGAAGACTGGAAAACAGGTAGAAGCCAGACTGCATTTTTACCCTTATTTTAATTACAGTTATATTCCAAAATTCAGTAATTCATTTGACCAGCTTATTTTCACCCTTCATGCTAATTAGTAAAAACACTAACTAGTAAACTAATAAAATACAAATGTTATGTAACATTACATGTTATATTGTATTATTACCAGTTAGTAAAAATAACTAAAATTTATATAGTTAATACTGGTGCCTACCATGATCAGAATATTTTGGTATCCATAGTTTTATCTCCTGAATCAACCTTGTCACTTCCATGTGACTCTTTCTTACCCCAGGACCACATTTATTCTAGAAGATAATAGAAAATGAAATAAATCAAGCTATGAACTTTTTTTTTTAATTGTTAGAAGATAGGAGTCTATCTGCAGCTTTGTTAGTGCTTTTTAGACTTGTGAATCTGAGATACATCATTAGTATAAAAATATCACAGTCAGGCAAAAACTGGGAGCCTCTGGGCTAGTAGATTTAAAAACAACAACTTCATTTACCTTTCCACAAAAGCATTACCATGTTTCCCCAACATTATCCTATGGTGGTTTTTTTTTTCATTCAATTTAAACCTCTTTCTTCATCATATACATTCTACCCGAACCTATGAAACATGATTCAGAAAATGGATTTACATAGTTCTATCAAGGGAAGCTCTGCTGTTTTATGCTTATGTAGGAGAAGAGAGGAATTTCTCTCCTTATTTCCTGCTCCCTTGATGAATTTTCCAAGATTGAGTGAATATTCTGGAATACCTACTTTAAGACAGACTGCCTCCTCAGGGGAAGCAGTCACAGTGTGCTACAAGAATGTGGGAATGGAGCCAAAGAGATGCTTCTCCTCCCTCTGTTTGGAGGACCTAAGTTCTTCACTAGTGATGAAAAAACCTGGAATACTCATCCTTAATAGTCAGCAGTTCCATACACAAATTACTTTAGTCTGGCAACAAGAAATATATTGTGAACTTGTTTGTAAAAACTAGTACAAGTGCAATGGCAAAGAGAATTTTTATATTATTTCATTTTGTTTCACTTTTTCTGCATCATTACACATGAAATATGGCTATAAAGATTTGTCCAAGCTGAGCAGTGTATTTGGAAAAGAGCAGAATGGAAAAAGAGAGAACAGGAAGTGAGGCTTAAATCAAGTCCTTAATATGAGAAGGGAAGAAAATAACATCAGTCAAAGTTCCTAAAAGAATTAGAAAACTATTAAGAGACCAAATAAAACCAATATGGAAATTTCTCATAAGGCACATAGAAGTTTTAAATGATGTTCCAGAATGCTTCTTACTTGGCCCCTTTTTTAGTATTTTGAAAATATAAATTGCAAACTCATTTAAGTTCCATTTTCTAAATTAAATTTTAAAATTTCAAAGTAGGTCAAACATTACAAACATTGCTGTGCAAATAACTTGTTTTTATTTTCATTCAAAGAAAGCAGCATATGAATTCCAGAGAGACATTCTTTTGGCTAGATTTTAGAAATGTCATATGGTTTTTAAAAAATCACTGTAAAATGTGATGCACACATATCTAGAATGATGGCCAGAAGCCATGTGACATAGCAGAATAAGCATGTGCCCTTGTTAAAAGGGATCTGATTTCAGTTAAGAATTCACTACTTTAGGAACAAGGGAAAACTTATCCTTTATACTTGGTACATACAGAAAATGAAAAATAATTAAGCAAACTGAAAAGTTTGCAACAAGCAACAAATGCAACAGGAACTAGGCAGGTCATCTATATTTGTTCACATTATGCCTCATCATGAACTTCAGCAATATTCATTAAAGTCCTGTCTGCTAACAAGATCATGATACTGGTATTGATCACATGTGAGCAAAATATTGCATATGAAGTAAAGCATGTAAAGTATTTTGTAAACCTTTAAAACACTATGTAAATGTTGGCTATTAGTTTTATTGTTATTATTAATAAGATTGCCAACATGATATTTCCCTGCAGGCTTTTAATTTCTGGTGTTCTATATACGTCCCTTTAATTGGTACGTTCATAGAGTTGGACCCACTGATAATATATCTCTTTTCATTTTCTTATTTCTGGGTTTATAATCATCTCTTTTAAATCTCTAGTGTGATAATTTATTATCATTATTTGTATGTTTGTGTATATACTTCATTGTAAAAACCGAGTACCATTTTCCATAGAATTTATTTTATGTAAAATTAAGCAAGCTAATAATAAAATTATTTTAAATAAGTAAAAATGAATTCCTAGCTATATTCATTATGTGCATTCAGGAGTCCACAAGAACAGGACAAAATTACAGTTCCAGGATCATACCAGGGGTGGTGTTGGGGTGTCCTCTTAATTTTTTTGTGGCATGAACTTTTTCATTTTGGTGAAACTTATGGACCCCTTCTTAAAAGAATGTTTTAAATGTATAAAATAAAATACATAAGATTACAAAGGAAGCCAACTATATTGAAATATAGTTATCAAAAAACAAGTTTGCACACCCTTGGTTAAGGACTCCTCCTCTCTAGACCATTCTAGGGCTGGGAGATAAGATCCATTATTCAGGCAGTGCTCACATGCAGCAGGTTGAGTCTATTTCCAAGTAGTTTTATCTCTAAGATAAAACTTCTGGTGTTCTGGGATAGAAATGAGTAAACTAATGATGAAATTTATGTACTGTAAATGCTACATAACATAATAATCTACTTATGATGATTTCCATCTATACAAACCTAGGACCTTATCTGAATGGTTTTAAAAGAACATTTTGATTGTAATTTTGAAACTGCCTTCTTTCTTGGTTTTTCAACAGGAAGAACTTTCATACAAATTATTACAGAAATAACACAATATTGTATGTGAAACATTTCAGATAATTTGCCTGTTAGAATAGTGGTAAAAAGTTTATGTCATAGTGTCAGTGAAAATACTGGAGCCCTGGAATTCATTTTCTCTGTCAAATTCCAGATTTGTTATCCTTAGAACATGGTGCAAAACACTATTTACACAAGACTTTAAATTGGATTGCAAATTTTTCAAGTTAAGTAAGCATTAAGTTTGTCTATTGAGTTAATATGTAATCGTCATTTGTGCATCATGAACATAAATCTGGAGAATATGAATGCCAGACATTATCAATCAGTATTGAGAATTCAAAATGAAAACAAAATTAAAATCATAGTATTTTGTTATTCTTTGAAAAGGTTTTTGTTGCATCCTATTAAATACAAAAGTACTGAGGCTTGCATACTGTTTCATCAACATGTCTTGAAAAATTAAAAGGTAATTTTAGGGAAGAGGGATTTTGAAATTATCATATTTTGTAATTTTTAGGAATGTAACCTATTCGAACAACCATTTTGTCTCTTGAAATAACTATTAGATTATCAATTGATGAAAGGTAATTTCAGCCAGAGTATGTTTTGACATGCTGAAGTTTTGGGTTCATTTTTCAGTGTAAACAAGTAAATGAGTACATGTTTACTGAATTACTCTATACTTTTGTAACTAAAACATATACACATGAAAATATAGATATTCAATTAGAGGCAAAGCCAGTGTTAATACTCATATTCTAAGACTTGTGCAAAACACAAAATAACAGTAAATTTTTTACATAAACCTAAAAATAACACAGCTGGAAGATGTTTATAATGTTTTAGTAGTGCGAGGCAAAGGAGGGGGATAGTTCCAAGAATGTAGACATTTTAATGGACAGATGTTTTAGAAGCTTTTAAGAGTCCCTTTATTTTAGAAGTAAGGTTTAAAAAACAAACTAAAATAATCTTCCCACCCCCTATCTTCATCCCCTGTACCCCAGAAACCTAATGCTATGCTGGGAATATTTCCCTGCCGCTTTTCCTTTTCTCTACATCTTCTATACCTCCTGCCTGCACACATTCATAATAAGAAAGTATTATTTGGATATGAGTTTTATTAGACAAAGATTAGTTGGAACTTAAAGTAAAATGGCATTCTGAATATCTTTCCAAAGTTTTGTAGGTTTTTACATTTGTCTTAGAAAACACCAGTTAACAGATTTTCAACTGAGTCTCTTTCATGTCTCTATAAACCTTCAAGTAATGGTAGATTTGGATTTAAACTTTAAGGAGAAGAGTCATAAAAAAACAGTCTGTCTTATAGTATACAGAGCATTGTGGATAAAATTTCAGCCCTTTGGCCCATATTCAGCCCTGAATCATCCACAGGGTAAGTGTGTTACTGTACCTGGGGCTTGTTCCGTTAAACTTGTCCTCTTCTTGCTCTAGCGCATAAAGTCTGGCAGAGACAGCAGTGGCAGTTCTCGTAGCAAAAGAGAGGGAAGTGCAGGCAGCGGTAAGTATTTTCAGTTCTTTTAAGGCTATGGAATTGTCAAATTTCCAGCATGTGGGTTTCTAGAAGAAATAATATCTTGAAGTAGTAACCTCTGGTTTTTTGTTCATTGTTTTTTGTTTTTTTGGCTAACTGGACATTTTTTTTTTTTAGCCTGGGATAAAACTTGGTATTCTAATTAATGAGAAGAGAGACTAACTTGAATGTTTAAAAATTTAATGAAAAAAAAAATAACTATATTTTGAAAGAAATATCATTTCATTAATTTCAACTATGTTCTCTAACAAACTATGATAAAGTTAGGTCTTATGAAACTGAATGGATAGATTTTAAAATGTAGTTAGTATAGTAATGATATAAATGAATGCTTCTAAAGTTCTTGAATATAGTTTTATCTTAAGTTAAACATTCTTACTAAAATTTTATTTTACCAATTTATTTAGAAAATTTTTATAGGTAATGCAAAGATAAGCCTCAATTCAAATTCAGTTTGAATTATTATGGATACCAAATTAATAGAGACTAAATGAAGTTTTACTATATTTTTGTTTTCAATTCTGGATTTTAATAAAGTACCATGAGAAGTAGTGGGATGTAGTAGTATACTAAAGGTCAAGAGTCTTCATTCCTACTTGTGGCTTCATTACTTGCCTTGCACAAGATCTTTTTTCCTCTTTGTGTTTCAATTTCCCTATCAATATGGGATTTTGGGGGGTTTTTTTGCTTTAGAGGAATGTTATCATATTGGAGTTTTGAAAATGTTATAGTCTTGATGAATTAATTAATTAATTTGAAAAATAAATGCTAAGTTGATATATATAAACATAGATAGATGCAGATATAAATACCTAGACATAAATAGATATATCTGTTTCTATTGTGTGTGTTTGTATAGCATGCTCATGACCCAGGTCTTGTACATAGACTAACTGTATTCTTGGATACCTATTTGTAATGTGACAATCAAATTAAGGAGAATAAAAATTGATATTTAGGCAGTCAACCTGATTAACTCCCTGTCCTATATCCCTTTTACCTTTTCAACCAGTGAACTCTCACCTAAAGCTTTAACCTCACACCTAGACCCTGAGACCAGTACCATTCCTAAGTAGAGAAAAGGAACTCCAGCCAATCCAACTAACATTTATTGAGTGACTGTTTTGCTCAGATTACTGTATAAGGTACTAGAGGAGTTAGAAAGTTTAGGTAAAATATGGTTATTGCCCTAATAGAGCTCAGAGTCTAGTAGGGGGCTATGACACATACACAGAACCACATGGTACACAATATATGATAAATGCATTAGAGAAATGCAAAGGACCTTGTGAGATCCAAGGGAGGAAAGATCAGTCACTCCCAACTGGTGAGATGAGGGAAGGCTTCATGAAGGAGGTGGCTTTTGAGTTGAGCTTTAAAGGATGTGTAAAAACTCAGCAGCAAATGGAGGGAGGAGGCCTGATGTGAGCAAGAGCTTAAATGTGAAAGTTCTAGGTATGTATGGGAGTTGGTGAAAAATCCAGTTTAGCCAAAAGATAGTCTATGTGAAGGAGAGGAATATAAGTTAAGACTAGATTGAGGAGGCATCAGTTTGTGGCCCCAAATACCAAGGAGAAGTGTTTGAACTTTACTCAGGCAGCAGGGGAGCCTTGAAAAGTCCTGAGCAAAGGACCATTGAGGCAGTTTTGCATCCGAACCTTGGTAACCCAAATTCAAATTTACCATGTTCCTGAATTGTTCTCCTATGATCTAAGTCTCTGACATGCCATTTGGTACTAGATTTCCTGTGTCTGAACCCTGGTCTTCCATGGTTCGGTACTGTATCTCTCTGACACCACTCACCTATCTAGCTGGGCTGTTATATCAGACCACTTGTCACATTCTTCTTGACCTCTCTGTTGGTCACCCTCTTCTCAATATGCTCTTCTTTCTAGGTTTTTGGGACACCATTCTTTCCTGGTTCTCCTTTTACCTGTCAGACTACCCTTTCTCAGTCTCCTTTGCTGACTCCTCATGCATATCACATCCTCTAACCATAGATAACCCACAGGTCTTGGGCTCTCTTCTCTCTCTAGAAGATTTCATTTGGTGATCCCATGTTCCCACGGATTTAATTTATCACCTGTATGCTGATGATTCTCAGATCTACCTATCCTGCCTTAAACTCTCTGCTGATCTCTAATCTTACATTTCCAACTGCCTTTCAGACTTCTCAAATTGAATATTTAAACTCAAAATGTCTAAAAGAGAACTCATTATTTTTTCCCCTCAAACTTCCTACCCACCCCCTTGCTCGATACTTCTCTATTACTGTCAAGGTCACCATTATCCTCCTCATCCCCCAGGCTTGCAATCTAAGTGTCATCTTCAGCTTCTAACTATCTCTCACCACTCTATGTCTAGTCTTTTGCCAAAGTCTGTCAATTTCACCTTTGGACCATCTCGAATACTATCCCTTCTCTGATACTGCCATCTCTCACTTGAACTACAGCAGTCAGCCTGCTGCCGGGTCTACTTGCCTCAAGTCTCTTCCGATCATACCCTACATATCCCAGTGATTCTGAATTCCTGTAGGTCATTATCCAAAACCCATTCTCCATGTCCTACCACCCTCAACTCTCCCACCCTAAAGTTTCAACCTAACTCTACCTATCCCTTCTGCTGTGCCCTCTGAAATGCCTGTTCCATAGGTATCAAACTTAACTTCATCATAATTATTTTCCTTTCTCACTCCTTTCATCTTCTAGCTATTACTGAAACTTGACTCCCCCCAGATGACACAGCCTCCCTGGCCACTCCTTCCAATACCGGCTGTACGTTTACACATTCCCCTTCAGCTCTCTATTCAAGGCAGGGGAATTAAACTATGCCTTGCTCCCTGTTGTCACTTCCAAGTTCTCTCCCTAGCTCCATCACTCAGTAGCATCTCCACCTTTGAGGTTCATGCTGTTCATCTCTACTACCCAATCAAAATCCTGGTTGTTATTATCTACAGACCTCTAGGTCACTCCCCTTCCTTCCTGAATGAGTTTAGTATATGGCTCACAGTTATTCTCTCTTCCCCCACTCCTGTCATCATACTAGTACTGAAGTATGTATATTGACTTTTCCTTAAACCTCCTAACCACTCAGTTCCTCAACCTACTCACTTTCCATGACCCATTCTTCCCTCCCACCTCAGCCACACACAAAGGTGGTCATTACCCATGGTGATCTTGCCATCACCCACAAATATACCACCTCCATGTTCAAGAATTCTCAAATTCTCTTATACAATCATAATTTATTTTCTTCCTTCCCTTACCAAACCCTACTTTTTGCCCACACCATAACCTCCAGTCTCTCTATCCCTCTGTTCTCTCGCTGGCCATCTCCTCTGCACTCCCACTTTTACCCTTTGGTGAACCAGTTCAACTGTACACCATCCCTTCTCTTTAGTCCTTTGCTCCCTTATCACTGATTTCATGCAGGCCTTAGCCTTGGATCACTCCCAACATCTATCACCTTGGCTCCTACGCACTTGCTGCTGAACAAAGGTAAAATCACACAACTCTATTGTTTGGGTCCACTATAAATTTATCTTATACAACCTAAAGTAGACCCTCACTACTGCTAGGTGTAGTACTACCTCCCTTATCAGTTTACTATCACACTCTTCACAAAGGCTCTTCCAAACCTTTTTGTCCCTCCTCAAATCTCCTTTGGCTCCCTCTCCTCCCATCCTTTCAGCTGAGAACCTTGCCTCATATTTTTTAAATTGAGGTCATTTACCATGAGCTCCCTCTTCTCCCCTCCCCTTCATTCATATCAAGCAGATGTTTTCTGCCACTATCTCCTCTTTCACCCTTGTCTCACATGATGAGGTGGCCTTACTCCTCATCATGGCTGATCCTTTACCTGCTTAAATGATGCGATGCCATCCCATCACCTCTAGCAGATTGGTCCCTCCTTCTTCCCCACTGTATCACTTATTTTCAGTCTCTCTCTGTGTACTGGCTCCTTCCTTGCTGCCTACAAATATACCCATGTCTCTCCTATTCTCAAAAAACCTTCACTTGATCTTTCAATCCCCTAGAACTATCATCTTATATGCCTTTTGACCTTTGTAGCTAACCTTCTTGAAAAGGCCATCTACAATAGGTGCCTCTACTTTTTCTCCTCTCATTCTTTTCTTAAGCCCTTAACAATCTAGCTTCCAACCTGATCATTCCACTAAAACTATTCTCTCCAAATTTACCAGTGATCTCTTAATTGACAAATTCAATGACCTCTTCTCAATTCTTTTTTTCCTCAACCTCTCTGTAGCCTTTGACACAGTTGATCACCATCTCCTCCTTGATAATCTGTTCTCTCTAGATGTTCAGGAGCTCATTCTCTTCTGGTTCTCCTCCTATCTGACTGCTCCTCATTCTTCTTTGCTGGATCCTCATTTAGACCATACCCTCTAGCCATAGGAGTCCCAGAGACCTGGTCTTTTCTTTTTTCTCTCTAAACTACTTAACTTGGGGAGCTCATCAGCTTCTATGGATTTAATTACCATCTCTATGCTGATAATTCTCAAATCTACCTATTCTGCCCTAACCTTTCAGCTTACCCCCAGTCATATATCTCCAATTGCTTTTCAGACATCTCAAACTGGATGTCCAGTAGACATCTTAAACTCAATTTGCCTAAGATAGAACACATTATCTTTACTGCTAAACCTGCTGTCTTCCCTAGCTAAAAGTCCCAACTAAAATCCCGTGTTCTATAGGAGGCCTTTCCTAATCCCTCTTAATTCTACTGCTTTCCCTTTCTTATTTCCTGTCATTCTGTATATAGCTTATTTGTACCTATTTGTTTGCTTGTTGTCTTATTTGCTTGTACTCTCCTTCATTCAATTGTTAGCTCCTTGAGGGAAGGGGCTGTCTTTTGCCTCTTTTTTTAATTCCCAGACCTTAGCACAGCAGCTGGCATATTGTAGGCACTTAATAAATACCAATTGACCAACTGATTCAGACCTCTTT